TATACCTAGAAAATGTTATTACCCAAACCCCTTCATTTGATTCTTCCCATCCCTCATATAATAGGAAATTAAAGGAATCAAAGGGGAAGAATGTTCTGAAAAAGAAAATAAGAAAAGGGGTAGGTACTGTAGGTTAATATTTGACTAAACAAAGGTACAACCTTGCATTTTATGGTGGGGATCCACTCCCTTTGTGGCATTGCATAAACAGGTTGGACTTTGGTCCTGGTGATGTTATTAATGGTACCATAAAGTTAGCAAATATTAATTTCATGCAATTTCTATAACAGTCTAGATTTTGACTTCACGTGATTGGCTCTGATTTTTAGCTCAAACTTGTATAATACAATTAATTTGGTTGTTAAGGATAAAGTTTTTTGAGAAACAATTGACAATTCTAAGTCATTCGAGATTCAATTAGTTTACAAGTTAACCTTGAGTTAAAACTTGAATGTTTATTGAGTTATAAGAGGAAAGTTTTGCACTATTGATCATCAAAAGACCTAATTATAATAGATATGTTAGAAAATCAAAAACTAAAAAAGACTGTAAATATTATATTTGTGGAGTCCATATACATTTTGCTAACAAATGTTTAAATAAATATAAAAATAAAGAAAATATAGTTAAACCTATGATAATAGTTTTTAGTTGACACAGTCTTTAGATTGGTATATCTCCCAATCCATCGATGCAAAGTGTAAAATAATTTAATTCAAAGAGCTAAAGGGATCCATGTTTTGCTTTTGAGTTAAGGGACTAACTAACATCGAAAATATTTCAGAAAATGAATTGATTGTTATAAATAAAAGCTGGGTGGCTTAATTAAGATTTTGCTGAAAGTTCAATGATCAAAGTTGAAATTAGCCTTAAGTTTACTTGCGTTTACATCTTAACCATTTACACATGAATACGCTAGTAAAGTTTTATGCTATTACTCAATAATGTATAAATTGAAATGAACACAAAATGCATAATATCTCATTTAACACGTCGGTATAAACATTTCCACAAATGTGTGTGTGTGTGTGTGATTGATGAAGCAAGAATCTGCGATTTCATGGGACATTTAAAGATATGTCAGGTTGATTTGAGCCATAGGATTCACCACCCCCTCTCCCATTGAATGCTTAATATAATTTTAGTGTTACTATTACTTAATTCACTTTAATTATTAATTATAAGGATTATTCTAAACGTCCAGGCCATGTGTAGCAAAACCCTAATTGTAAAGAAAAATTCCTTTGTTTTTCTGTACCTAGAATAATAGTTCTTGTTTCGTTTAAAAGTATGAATTAGGGTTCGGTTATTATTTAGTTGCTTGATAAATAAATTGACCGTTGAAGTTCTTCAGTTATTTTAACACAATTTCAATATTTTAAGTTTAATTAGGGTCTGTTTGGGAGCGATTTTACCACCAAAAAAATTGATTTTTTGACCGTTATTTCATTATTTCAGCCGTCATATTTGACCTCTTCTCTCACAAATAGACCCCCACTTTTCTCCTAACGGTCAAAAAATCAATTCTCAAAATCACTCCCAAACAGGCTCTTAACTCGTTTGTTGTTCCACAAAAATCGATTTAACCAATTTTACATATTGGGTTGTTAATCAATCGCATTATGCTGAAATTAATGAGTATAACGTTTTTATTTTCGTCTCTTTTATTCATCAAGTGGGTGTGGGGTGCGTGGGGTCAAATTCTTTTTCACGTCACCATCTCAATGAATGACATGTTGTTTTAGCACAAGAAATGCAAGTTTTTTTGGTAAGAAGTTGCTACCAATTAAAAAAGGGGCAAATTTAAGCATGATAGAAATAAATTGTAATTAAATGACGTGTCGATTTATGTTGAAAGCTTTGACACGTGTTGTTAGCTTCTCTTTTATTTTATTTGAAAAAAGCTTGATTCGAGAAATTCTGTTATTAATAGATAAATTTTATCCATTTCAATATTTACTATTTATTTAGGCTCCGTTTGGAAATGATTCTTCACCCCAAAAAATTGATTTTCTAACATAATTTTTGATTCATTCTCTCACAGGTGGCCTCCATTTTTCTCCTAATAGTCAAAAAATTAATTCTCATAATTACTATCGAATTATGACTATTCGTTTGAATAACTTTGGATAATCATTGAGTGTGAATGACATTGGTATTTCAATTTATGATGAAGCTTCACATTAGTCATTAAACTTTATTTATTTAAAAATTATCACTAATTTTTTTTCCAAATTGTCCACTCAATTAAATTGATATCTCTGTCACGTTTTATTATCGTCTTTCTTGTTACTCATCCCATTACGTAAAGTAAATATATTTAAATCGTAGAGAAAAAAAAAAAGTGGTGAATGGATAATGAGTAATGTTTGTAAGATATCCTTAGAACGTGTTCATAAAAAGTAACTCGAATGTTTATAAACATGAGCCGAACATAAGCTAAAGTTATGAAGTTGAAAAGAAGGCAATAATAATAATAATAAATTGATAATAATAATAAACTTTTCTTTGTTGCATGTACGTATTTTGCATATTGAAATTTGTTGGATAAGTTGTACTACCTCAGGAATTTGTTGTACATTCATGGTTCTAGATATTGGAACCATTGACTGGAATTAAGTAGCCAATGTACATCAAATAAGTTGCGATGTCCCCTCATTAACCTGCCAACATAATTACTTAATTTTTTCTTTAAATTCAGTCCAGGCAAATTTATTAATACAAGTTGGTGTAATAAATTCATTGGTATAGTCTTCTTTTAATGTCATTATTTTGTGACATTGACAAACATTTTATTTAATTTACGACTAGTTGATACTATACAAACTATTAATGGTTGTTTGATAAATTTTTTAATAAAAATTAATGAAATGTGTCATAAAAATTTTGATAAAAATTGTGGATCCTATAAAATGTTTGGTTAAAATTGAAGTTTAATCAATTGAAAATTTAAAGAGCAAAATTTTATCAAATTAGCAATAAATTTAATATTCACGTATCAATTCTTATTTGATAAGAGACAAGGAAATTCACTTGTACTACTTTAACTGAGTGTGAGCTATCATTACTTATATAAATACGACTTTCGTCATTTACAATTCTTTAAATTCAATCTAATTTTTGTCGATAACTAAATTGAACTTGTTAGATCTCGTTTGGGAGCGATTTTGAGAATTGATTTTTTGATCGTTACGAGAAAAGCGGGGGTCACTTGTGAGAGAAGAAATCTAACTTTACGACTGAAATAGTGAAATAACGGTCAAAAAATTAATTTTTTAGGGTGAAAAATTACTCCCAAATAGCCCCTTAATATTTAAGGGATTGTTTGACAAATTTTATTATTATTATTATTATTATTTTTTATAAAAACTTTATCAAATATTGTTAAAACATGATACAATATATAATTGTAAAGTTATAGATCAAATAAAATGTGTTATTAAAATAAGTTGTTGAATTTAATTTTGACTCAATTTTTATTAACTTTTTAAGTAATTCCAATCAAGTACTTAGTTACACCTAGCGCGATTCTCTCCATAAAGGAAAGAATCAGGCTTATAATGAGAAAAAAAGAACAATCATTATAGATCTCTCAATTAGCTAGTTGTCCACTTCTACAACTAGCATGAAACGAACTAAAATTAGAGGAATTGCATATCGAAAAATTTGAGCACTTTGTCTCTCATAGTTCCCACACGAAATTTAGTAACAATAGGCAAAATTTGTCACCCATGTAAAGTTACGCACATTTGGCCAATATGTTATTAGAAAATATGGAAAAAAAAAAAATTAAACTTGCATGTAAAATTATTTTATTGAAACAATCTGTGTTTGAAAAAAATGAATTTTAAAGAATATAATTCAAATAGGGGCCCAGTCTTGTTCTCCCATATTGCCCTGTGCCAAAAAGCCGTCGAGTTCAAATAAACTGCCAGTATAATATCAGATCTACTAACAACTGTAGCAAATAACACTGTAGCAACTATAGCAGCATCCAAGTGCATTTTACAAATTTTCTGAAGATGTTTTTTCATATTGTTCAATGAAGTTAAACTCTTGGGTACAATGACATATTGTGTATTACATATTAGGAAAATTTGGCAAAAGCCAAGAATCTCAGCTGCAAATTGAAGTAAATTGTTCATCCTAACACTTCCATATCATCATCAGATGCTAAGTTCTTAACCTCATTGCCACAATACATTCTATCATCGTTCGAAAAGGGCATAAGTTTCTCCGAAAAAGAACTTCCAAGAAAATCGTACTTCACATGCTTCACTCTTGATTCTCGTGTGTCATTTAATCCATCTTTCCGTTTTCTACACCCATCAATCCTTGGGTTCCTTGTGCAGACAGAAGCTAGTAATCCTTTGTTCGACAAACCATCCATTTTTTTATCCTTATTGCATACATTTTCAGGGTATACTAACATATTCTGCTTCAGGTTCTTTTCATCGGGCTTGATTTCAGGGAACTCACCGTCCATTCTTGTGCTGCATGTTACCGCTCTGGTACGGAGTGATGATGTCTTATGATCAAATACTTTAAACCCTTGATCTTCAAGGACAAAAAGCCACTCTGAAAATGAGTTAATGTGCAATTAGCTATCTTCTATGACGAAGTTAAAACAAATAATTAATATATAGCACGATCCACCAGTAAGAGCAAGAATGTAACGAACAAGAAACTTCTGCATTTCAAAAATGAAGTCATCATTTACTGCGAGGGAGCTAGTCGTAGTGTTTATAGCATGTTTGGCTAAGTTGATTTACTTTTATCAGAATTGTTTTTTCCAAGCATGTTTGGACATGTTATACTTATTCTTCACTTATAAGTTAAAAAAAAAAATGATGCTTATATTGACACTAATTAAAGGATTACTTCCGATCAAAAATTATTTATGCAGACTCGTTCATTTAATCTTTCAAGCTTATCCAAATATTCCCTAAATGTCCAGAGAAGCTCAGGTAAAGAGTAAAAAGAAGTAATCCCATAGTAGTAACTCACTGATAAGAGCTTTTGGAGTGCTTGGTCTACTGTTTTCCNCTCAGGTAAAGAGTAAAAAGAAGTAATCCCATAGTAGTAACTCACTGATAAGAGCTTTTGGAGTGCTTGGTCTACTGTTTTCCTCCTGCATTCCAGCTTGGACTGTTATCCGCTTGATTAGCTCTGTCACTAACCAAGAACCGGAGAAAGCATTTACATAAGAAATGGCCCTGGCTTGATCACAAGTTGCCCTGCAGTTGAAAAATTTCAGACATTAACAAATAAAACATAGTATAATTTTACGCTTGAATCCTGGACCACAGTACTTTCCACATACCTCGCCAAACATATGGCATTGTCTGCAACTATTGACCATACCAGAGCCAAGTTTCTCGAGTAGCCATCTACTGACTGAATACATGTATGCGGTTGCAGATACGAATGGTCAATCAATATCACTGCATCATACAGTGCTTTTTGTAGAAAAATTGCATCCTCAGAACTCTGCACTAATATAGAATCATTCGCGGGGAATAAGAAGCTTTCATGTTAGCACCTCACTGCATAAACACTTTTTAGAGCAGAAAACACAAGATGCAGAAGTCCGTGACAAGAATTGATTCGAACACAAAGTATGACTATGCTAAAGCCTTTAACTATTCTCAGCATTTGATGGAAATAAATTTCAGCCTAAAGAATTCAGTGTGAAAATTCTATATAGTTCGTAAGCATACTGACCAATAGGGTGGAAACAGGTAAACTTGGTTCCAGCAGCATGTTGAGAATCATTTCTGGCAAGAAGCACCATTAAATCAGGAGTGCATATGAAAAATAAACACAAATGATACAGTGCTTTGTATGAAAATTGCCATTTAAACATGAAGAAGCACAAATTAACACTGCTCTTCCACGCTTTATCATATAAGAAAAAATGTATTGAACTACCCAGATGAATGAGATCTAATGGAAGCAAACATGAATAATGCATGCCAAGAAACAATTGACCAAAATCATGAGCCAACAAAAATTGAAATAGAAGAAAAAGAGCGTAAATATATCTATGCCAACTAAAAGGAAGAAATTGAAGTTTGTGGCACAAGATTAATCAATCATAAAGGTGATCACCAGTCTCTACTAAAAGTAAAAGATTCTGAAAACTCCTATAGGTCTGAATGGACAAATATTGAATATCCCTATACAAGTCCAAGTCCATTTAAATCCCTGAAATTTTCAAGGCACAATCTCAACAAAAATGCTTCGTTCATAGCACCCAGCCAAGCACCCTGTGCTGACATCAACTCGCTTCCTTGAACTCTTCGGTCAGGATAACCTCAAGAAAATTGATTAAACAAAATAAAAAATAAAAAAAGAAATCTGAGAATATTTGAACCTCTTTAAGGTAATTAGATAAGAAGTGACAGATTGAATTTTTCAACCATTTGTTATAACCCTAGATTGCTTCCTGACACCGATCGAGTTGGCAGCAGGTGCACTTTTGTTTTTCTTCAACTAGGGTTGGGCTAAATGAAATGAATAGTGAATCAATTTGGTAATTTGCAGAGCAGTTTTTAACTGCATGGACAGCTAAGAAAAAAGTTCAGTAATTCGAAGACCAAATAAGAAGAGAGACATTATGATGTGCCATAGTGTCTACCATAGCAAAATATTTGGAAGAAAAAGATGGGTCTTATTAAGGACACCACATCTACACGTCTCTTATGAAAGAAAATTAATTAAGCAGAACAGTAGATTAGAAGAAATGGAGAATCTCACAGTATCATTGTATAAAGCACTGCAAAAAAAGGATTTGAGAACTAATGAGGCAAGTATACCGTTCCTTGCTCTCGTTGTAGCTGGGGGACGTTGTATTTATTCCCTAAACTAATGACATGCTTTCCTCATTAACGATCCACCAAATTTACGAGATGTAACTTCTTCAAGGTATTTTCTCTTCATTTTCCTTTGACAGGACTGCTTGCATGAGTTGATAAGCTCGACAAACCAACGAGGTTCAATTGCTTATATCAGAGGCTTAATCAACAAGTGTGCTGTCGGCAACTCATTACAGTGTTAACGTGTCCCTTTAGTCTTTCTCTAGCACACGTGTACAAATTGAAAAAGCTACCACACCTAACAAAAATGTTTCCATTGGAACCATTCTAAATAGGGAGAAACTGCTGGCTGTATCTTTTTTGTTCCTTCTGTCAATTGATAGTGTCCGACTTTGCATACCCCGTTGTATAAAACCACTGCATCTTATGATTAGTTCAGAATAGTATTTTAAGATGTGACATGCAATGTAATATGGAAGAACTTGAAGAATGTAGTTGCACAGAAAAAGCCTTTTTGGTTATTGAAATTAGTAGTGNTTTTGCCAATTACTGGCTCTTCCAGGGCCACTATATTTGGCCTCATCTGTCTGAACATTTCAGTGAGTGCGTCCACTGAAAATAGCTCTTTGCTTTGCTCGACAACTTGAATTTCTTCCCCATCTTGTACCACCCTGACAGGTCCATAGTTTCCTTCGTACATGAACTTTTCCACCGAGTTTGCTTCTGCGACAAAAGGCCTATGATCGGCCTGTACCACCTCTGCTTCGCCTTTGTTATTCCAAAAGATCAGGCATTGATGGACCGATGAGGGTATACAGCGACTTCCGTGTATCCAATCTCTTTCTAGTAGCACATTGTAACTAGTATGACCATCTATTACAAAGAAGACAGTGGTCCTAGTAGTCGTCCCTATAGTTATGTCCAATGGCATAACTCCCTTAGTTGAAGTTGCTCCTCCATTGAAGCTCGTGAGGATGACTTCTGTAGGAATCATGTCACCATCTGTCTTTGCGAACTTCCTCATCATCCTAGATGGAATGGTGTTTATAACTGCTCCATTGTCGACAAACACTTTTACCACTGGGACGCCGTTAACTAGAGCTTTAATGTATAATGGCCTCAAGTGTTTAGTCAATTTTATGGCTGGGCTTTTAAAAATAACCTTTTTGGTAGCCTCTATTTCTACTTCCTGCTTGTTTTCTGTCAAATTATCCCCCTGTGATAAGTCGACGTGCAGTATATCGCGCTGATCCTCTATCTCCTGAACTTCCTTCTTACTTTTTTCTAATGCTTCCTCATCAGTTACCCAACCTGTGGGAGGGGGCATTATTCTTGGAGGTGACCCATACTTTTCAGAGCGAGGCACTCTCTTCTTCCTTTTGGGTGTCCCGTACAGTACGTAGAAATCGAAAGGACGCCCAAATGGTTCCCCCAACAAGTCTACTTCGCGAACTCCCTCTCGATGTAGTTGCTTCAATAGAGTATTGCGCGATACTCCTCTCTTTCTTCCTTCTGCTTCTAGGTCAATTTTTTCTTCAATGTCTGTCATCCCATCATCCTCTTCATCGTTGTAGGCCTCTCTAGAAGTCTGGCCTTCTTCACATATCAGTACGCAAGCTTCTCCTTCATTGTCCTCCCTCTCTTCTTCTTTTTCTTTATTCTTGAATTCATTGGCCAGTAAGTAATTATTGGCCACGAGAGGAGGTAACGTACCGAACTGGATGGTAAGGGGCTGATCTGGATCTTCTCCATCCCTTCTGTCCCGCTCAAACTTTGATTTTCCAAAAGAAGTTTCTGGCAGTTCCTTCATTGATTCATCTGTACCGGTCTCTTCACTATCTTTGAGGACATTTTGATTGGTTACCTTGAGTAGTTTAGACGCTTTAGGATGTGGCACTTCCTGTTGTTGCCTCATCATCCGTCCATAGTTTCGTTGGAAATGCTTTTGTTGGGTTCTAGTAATCTCATCGAAGGGTATTGCCCTTCTTGCATTATACTGGATGAATGCCATACATTTGGCCGGCGAGGTTGCGGCCTGAATGTTCTTCCATTATCTGCTGGCCTGAACTGCCTCTCAAAAGGCGGTCCTCTATAGAATGATGTACCTCGCCCTCTACCAGGCTGAGTGTTTGGGAAGAAGGTAGGGCGATGGGGATGCTGCCATATCCATGGTTTCTCCGTATTGCCATTTATTTCTCTTTTACATCTTGCACACAGGACGTCTTCGTCCTTTTTTGGTTCTTTCCCCTTGATTCGTTCAAAGACACTGGGATGTGATCTAGGATCCTCTTCTCCATCATCTACGACCAACTTGAATTTTGGCAACTTGTTTTTGAATCCAGACGTCACCATGTTCACTCCAAGTGGCTGTGGAAAAGGATTTTCATCCACTGCCATCTTTTTCTTATCGTCGAACGTAATTCGTCCCGATTCAATAGCATCCTGCAATACATGGCGAAAAACCAAACAATTGTTAGTCAAATGTGACCATACATTATGCCACTTACAATATTTTTTACCCTTAATTTGTTCAGGGTTTGGCAATTTGTGCTTATCGCTCAACTTTATCTGCTTATCCCTATATAATTTATCAAATATAAGGTAGCTTTGGTTATGTTGAACGAGAACGTTCTAGCCTTTATGTTTCCATCTTTTATGGGCTCATCTTTACCCGATGGTTTAGGCTTGGCCATTATGGGACAAGTATACGTATCTCGTTTGACCAATTCGGCCAAACACATTTCGGCCTGGTCGTATGACTCGTCATTGATGGTATGAACATCAAAATTTGGGTCTTTGTAATAAGTCTCTTTACTAGAATTTTTCATTTATTCTTCCTCTCTTATCAGTCGTTCATACCTAATCACATTCGCACTCAACTGGAAAAGGTCAGGAAATTTCTTGTCCTGGAATTTCTTCTTTAAATCAAAGCTCAAGCAGCCCTGAGCGATTTTGACAAATTCTTTCTTGGGCAAAGGTACAAAACACTTGCTTCTTGCTGTCTTGAACTTTTGGAGAAAACTTTCTGCCCATTCGTTTGACATTTGACGTAGATTCGCCAAATCAGCCAAAGTGACTTCAGACTCAGTTTTATAAAATTGAGCGTGAAATAACTGTTTCAATTGTTATCATGTTTGAACAGAGTTCGCTGGCAAGTTGATGAACTAGGAGAAAGCTATTCCTGTTAACGAACTAGGGAAAAGCCTCATTTTATGGTAATCGGTTACATCACCACTTTGCAATCTGAATTGCCCTATGTGTTCTAGAGTAGACACCTTTCCTAAACCAGTAAACAGTGAGAATTCTGGTACTTTGTACCCTCTAGGCCATGGATATGCTTGGTCTACCCAATCAGGATATGACTTTGTGTACGTCGGCCTAATGACGGGACGCACCCCAAAAGCCATCTGATCCTATTCGATTTCCATAATTTGATTCCTCAACATGACGTTGGGATCATATGAAATTCCTACAGGCTGATTAACCGGTTGATTTGCATGAGGCCTGGTGTTTGGTCCTTGATTGGCAACAAAATTACCATAATTAGGGCCATTACCATTAGCCTGAACATCTATTCCCTCATTAACACGTGGGGTGTGCTGTCCATTGTTTAGGACATTATCTCTTATGTTTGGATTACCCCCCAAGTTAGGCGTACCGCTACCATTGTTATGATTTGGCACTGCAGTACCCCCTTGGTTTGAAGTAGAGGGACCAGAAAGTGGTTCTAGCCCTTGATTCGGATTTAGGACTGAGGGATTATGTTCCACAATTGTCCTAGTTTGAAAGTGATTTGCAAGAGGTATAACCGGTTGACATATTTGGCCTACTAACTTATTCATTGTTTCGTTCAAAGTGTTTAGTTGTTTGGCCACGTTGTCATAGTGTGCATTCCCATTTTAAGTAAATCTTTCCATATTATGAATATTTCGAAAATTTACCTGTTCAACAACGTCTTGTGTGAGTTCTCCAAGTAATGCACGCATGATTCGAGGACTCAACTCCGTCATTGTTTCGTAACGACTGTTACTGCTCTGATTTTGTCCATCTGTTCGTGGAGAGGCATGCTGCTCCTCATATCGCTCGATCACAGACTGGACTCTTCCCTGACTTGCTGCTTCTTTATCGGATCTCTAAGGCATATTATTTCACCTTTTGTACTTTCAACACCAAACACCACTGGGCGTGCCAAATTGTTTCGCACGGGTTAGTTGCTAACAATTAAAAGGGATCAGACGATTGTGTAAGGGACAAACCTCTTGAGACAAAGTCCCAAAAAGGGATGTTCTTTTATTGGCGATGATTTTACAATTGGAAATCAAAAACAAAATGCCTCCAAGGGGCACAAGCACACGAGTTACTGAAAAAAGTGTTTAAGTCTAAAACTAAGGAAATTAAAATTACACGTTCTCTGTTCGAGAGTTTTTGATTCGGTCCTTTGCTCTATGTCTTTTCTACCTTTTATACTTCATGGACGATCTCTTTGTGATCAACCACCTAAAAACTACTTGATCGTTTTGCAACTGCCCACTTTTCTCATAATGGCCAGCTTGTCATGAAAACTGTTTTATTTAACTGCTGTCATTACTCTTCGTCGTTCAATCGTTTTCGATTGAATTTCTTGAATCGTGGAACGTGATGGGGCTGCTTTAATAACTGTTTTGATAACTGCACTTCTTGATAACCACAACGCTTTATATTTGTTAAGACTTTGGGCGACTTGAAGGTTTTGGCGAAAATAGAGTGATAGCTCTGGGCGACTGCATGACACTCCATTTGCTCAGATTCTAGGCGACTTGCAATCTTGGGCGATGGCATTACCACGTTCTTGGGCCTTCATCTTGAATTGTTTGATTGGGCTTCGTTTTTTGGACTATCTGATTTGGGGATTCTCCAATTGGGCTTCATTCGTTGGTCCGTTCGATTTGGGCTGAATTTTTATGTGTCAACAGATCCAATAACACAGGAAAACATTAGATGCCCGATAATTGTAGAAATCGAACAAAGTAATGAAAACCTTCTTCGAAAAACCTTAACCCAGAAAAAATATGATGTAACAAGTAACAACCAAGAATCAATGTTTGTTTCGAAGTTACTTTATCTGAAGTGTAAGCTGGTTTATGAAAAAGTAACCAAGAAAAGACACGTGTTTGCTATAAATGAATTTCACTTTAGTTTCGAGAACGATCAAACTAACTTTGGTTCATCCATATTAGATTTAAAGAACGAATAGGTTAATTAATACGTATTGGGTTAATCAATAATTTTTCCAGCAGAAAACACAAAAAATAGGAGTAATGATATTTGTAGTTTTTCGCTACGATAGTCGTCTTACGTGACATACATGTGGTATAATGTTATTTAAGGTATTAATATGATATTTTTTATTAATTAGTGCATCAAATAACTACCTGCAATGTGTATACCGCGTGGGACGACTATCGTAATGAACGACTGCAAATAACATTATTTCAAAATTACACAACATTTTATCTTTCACCTTTTGCAATTCTTTTTAAACAACACAGAATCATAATGGATTGAGGTCTAGTTTCAGACATATGTTTTGGAAAAAATAAGTTTTAGAATAGTATTTTTATTTTATTTTATAAAATGTGTGATTAAAAAAGAAGAGTTAGTTTAGGATTTACATGTAAAATTTTTTACGAGAGATGTGGTGAAAAATGAGTTTTAGAAAAATAAATGAATTTTGAGAAAATGAATATCAAAAACATCGGCTGAGACTTGGTTTAGTCCGACTCGATTCCATCACAGCACATGCTACGATTAGATACTATCATCCTATTTTTCTTGGTAATAAATTGAAAATATAGGGTTGAAAATTTGTAAGCTAAATAACACGAAATGTCCCTACCTTTAATGTTATTGTGTAAAACGTTCATATTTTTCATTTTTTTTTAAATTTTTATCCATATTTTCACATTTCATTGCGCAGAATGTCATTTTCATCAATTTTCCAGTAAAAAGATGATTTTACCCTCATATTCAAATAAAATAAAAAGAATGGAATGAAATGACAAATAACTAATTACAACATAGTCCCAAAAATTCAAAATATTACGAATTAATCACAAATATATTAAAAATCAAAACTAAGAATAAAACAAAAATCATTCATCTTCTTCCTCGTACCAAAATCCCTCTTCATTCTCTTCCAAATTCTTTAACAAAGCTAGTAATTTTGAATGCAATATTTGTTTTGCTTTAGCACAAACCCGATAATTACCTTTGGTGGTCACCTCTATTGTTGGTTGTGCCTCTACAGATGGCTAAAACTTCACTCATAGTATCAAGAATGCCCTATTTGTAATTCAATAGGAAAAGTGACCCGAGATAAAAACCTGTTCCAGGCATTGAAATCTCTAATTGACCAACGGTGCAGAGACCTACCAAGGTTTCGCCTCCATATGCGAGCAACTTTTTTAACATAGTTTTGGGAATGATGGATGGATTTGTATTGCTTGTATCTGCAACATTCAGTAATTGCTGGTTTTGGTGGGGTGTTTTCTCCCATTTTTAACTTCCAGCTAAATGGTTTTTCAAATGCAAATGGTATTGGTGCAACATCAGGGAATCATTTTAGAAATGCTGGTTTGTTTCATGGTATTGGCAACCACGTCTATTCAAAAACTAGTCAATTTCAACTGGCAAATGACAGTTTAAATCCCGATGAAACTTTGAAGATGGAGGAAGAAGATGAAACTCCGAAGACGAACAAGAAGATGGAGGAAGAAAATGAACAACTTTTGTTTTATTTTAAGTTTTGGTTTTTAATTATATATTTGTGATTAATTTGGAATTTTTTGAAAATTTAGAACTATTGTTGCAATTAATTTTTTATCCTTTCATTTTGTTTTATTTAAATAGGAAGGTAAATTTGTCTTTTTATTGAAAAAATAGATGTCTACGCACCGAGAAGGAGGAAATAGAGATGAAAATGTCAAAAAATAAAAGATATCGACATTTTGCATAATGATATTAAAAGGTAGGAATGTTTTGTACTATTTATCCAAAATTTTTAATTAGTGCGGTTTCGGGCCTTTCGATTTCTAACTTCAATAATGAGAGTTTGAGTTCTTAACCTAGTTAAATATATGAATTTTTAGCCCTTGTTAATTTTTATTCCATTATATTTCATTTTTCTCTCTTTTTTTTCACCACACAATCTTCTATAAAATAATATTACATTTAAATCGAAAACTTTTTGTTTTCTTTTTCAATCACTCATTTTTCAAAAAAAACACTGTTATACTCATTTTCATTTCCACAAAATGGGGGTCAAACGGTATCTAAGCCCTCATAAGTGAATGTGGGGTGCAACAATCGTGGGTGAGAGTCACATTGAGCCCTTGTTTGAGCCACATTATTTTCGAACAAATACATTTTTAAATAGTGTATTGATGAGAAATATGTGGCTAAAAAATAAAGAAAAATTTTGAATTTACGTGTAATATTATTTTATTGAAGAACGTGTGGTTAAAATGATGTCAAATTACTGTTTAATAATTTATTTATATTTTCCAAAAAAGTGACTCAAACAGGGTCTGAATAGATAAACTTAAGTCATCTAGTTAAATCTTTAACGATATTGTCCTCCATCTTCAGGCCACCTTAAAGTCAAGTGCAATTTCAATATCCACATTGACGATTTGGTAACACAAGTCCCAAATTCCCAAATTTAAATAAGTTGAACATATTTTTACCAGTTTGAAAGTCAAGAATACATAAATTAAAAAGCTAGATAAATTCAATTCAATTATTATAAAATCTAACCATGTCGAAATCATATCGCTCTATATGTCCTTTTTTTTTTTTTTTCATTAAAACAATGTAACAGGCGTCTTGAAAAATCCATCAAATAAAGTTAATTTATTTATTGGAAAATTCAATAGCTTTTACCTACCTGGAAGCTTTTTCCCACTGATTTAGATCGCTCTAGGTTGACACAGTCTATTAGAGGTTGAGAAAATAGGTGCTTGTAAATTTTTGAAGCATTGGCCTTGGCATAACTTGGGCGTATTTTTTAAGCCACCAATCATTTTTCAAATTTTCTTTCAATTTCTCTCTATAAGATAATTATTTTCAACTCACATTTTTTGTTCGAAAATAACTTGAAAATAAAATTACAGTAACAAAAAAAATTATTTGTAAGCAACGAATTATTTATGATTAAAAAATTACTTATAAGATAAAAATCCACTTTTGTTTAAAATATTACTTATAAAGTCAAAAACAGTACTAGTAAAATTAAATTTTACTTACAATATATAATAAGTTACGCAAAAATTTTAAAAAATCAGTTAGGTGTTAAAAAGTATTTATAAGTATAAAATTAACTTATAACTGTAATATTTTTTTCATTAAAAATTACTTATAACTTAAAAGTTTGGGTCTAGATGAATAATTCCCTTTTTAAGTTAGATATTAACTTATAGATAAAAATAATTTATAAGTAATATATCAATTATGAGTAAAAAATTCCAAACAATTAATTATATTTAAAAATTTCACTAATGAGCATATATATAATTTTATTCTTTTAAAAAACTTACGAAACTGTTAGATAATAAGGACTCAAGATTTAGTTTGACTATTTAAAAAATCATTACTAAAAATTACTTGAAGTCAATACTCTTAAAAAGCCGGATAACGGGTGAGTTTTTCTTTACCCAATTTTGATCATTTTGGGTGGCACCATTTATGATAAGTTGAAAAAATTGAGTTTGTTATTTTTTTTAGCAATGATTTGAGTAGTTTTAAAATCACCCAAATCGATGATGTAATTTTGGGTGTATTTCTCAATCTTCCAAAAATGTGCGTTTGGTCGTTCCTCGTAAAATATTTCAGTTTTTTCTTTTATAATATAATTATTCTCTATCCACATATTTTGTTGAAACCTAACTTGTAAATAATAATATAATAACTTGAAAATACTATATAATTAAAAAATTGATTTATAAAAAAAAAATCACCTTTTCTTTTTTTTATGAAAATTGCTTTGATAAAATGATCTTAATAAGATAAAATTCACTTATAAAATATAAAAAATTACTTATAAGTTAAAAGTATATTTGCGTAAAAAGTACTTAAAAGTGCAAAATTACTAATAGGTAAAATTTACTTATAATTTAAACATTAATTATAAGTAAATATTTCACTTTTTAAGTTAAAAAATAACTTATGGGTCAAAAATTACTTATAATTAAAGTATCACTCATGAGTAATCATTCGATGAAAATTTTACGAAGAGCATATATACAATTTTATTATTTTCAAAAACTTTAAGAATAGTTGGTTACATACTCTTAAAGTATTTGAGTATGGGTTTTTAAAAATTACTATTAAAAATACTCAAAATCAAATCCCTCGTATATGTTCAAAATCGATAATTTAAATTAACCTCACAAACAGGTTAAGTTCAATGGTTGTACTACGTCTACATAATGATTTACATAGCATGATATAGTGAAGTATAATTGTGTTAGATTTTCTTCAACCAAATAAATAAAAAAAAGTTCTCAACTTTATTTTTGATATAATTTTATCATATATAAGTAACATTATTCTAAGTCAAAGAGGTTTCCTAAAAAAGAATAATGTTATTCGCAATCGTTCACTGCGACAGTTGTTCTACATGACATATATATGATGGGTAGTTATTTAATATATTAATGTTATAATTTTTTTTATTAATTTATGTATCAAATAATTACTTGTCATATGTATATCACGTTCGATGATTGTCACAATGACCGCGGATAGTGTTAAAAACAAAAATATTAGTAATAATAAAATAATCAAAGCGATAAATTCGTTAAAATTTCCAAAAGTATAAAATATCTAACGCGCTGGTCAGCTTCAGCTGAATATAAACCGTTTGCCCACAGCCCAATACTCCACACTCTTCTCTGTCTAGGGTTTCACAATCCTTATCCGGAAGTTGCCCATCCGAGCTTCAGCAATGGCAGATGAGGTGCAGTACGCATCGGGAGGCGGCGAATCTAACAAGCGCAAGTACGAGGACAACCAGCCGCCGCCAGTGCCACGGAGGCCGACCGGGTTCTCGTCGACGCCGGAGGTGGTCGTCCCGCTTCCGTCGTACAACACCGTGCCGCCTCCAATGAACGAGATTGAGCTGGCCAAGCAGAAGGCACAGGAGATTGCAGCCAGGCTCATTAACAACGCGGATGCCATCAAGAGGGCTAGAGTCGAGAATGGATCTGGTAGCGGAGGCTATGATTCCAATGATGGGGGCACAGGCTTCTCCTCTTCTCCGTTCCCGCCCTCTGGTATGATTTCTTCAGCTTACTATCTTTTCCTCTGTGTATGTTGTGTTATTTCTAGCTCTTCATTCTGTTCATACCCTTAAAACTTGCACGTGTATCAGAACATAGGAAGTTACCCTGTATTTATACTTATAAACAATGTGTTCGTGAGTATGCACGCTCCTATATTTGCTATTTTGGAAATATTGGTTAATTTAACTTGCAACTTGCATGCTTGCCCGTATACTTGTCTTTTTGCTTATCTGTGTAACTGGAAATTTAATTGTTAAATCGACTTTGTATCTTCCTTTTCAGGCTAATATTTGGCCAGTCTGGGTACATATAAACTCATTATATATGTTAACAAATATTATCTCTACTCACAATTGCTAACGCGTATGCAGCCACTTATCTTTAGTAAGTTGTCCACTTTAATATTGGGGGTGAGTGCTTATTCGGTTATTTGTAGTTTGGCAAGTATGGACGGACCGTGACAGAATGCTGAAATTTGTTTGGATGGGCTAAAACTAAGCAGCAAATTTATTTATTTATTTATTATTATTATTTTTTTTGGGGGGGGGGGGGGGAGTGTTGGAGGGAGCGTGCAATCTTAGTAAGTAGTTACATGGCATAACAAACTATAATATGGTCATGCACTTTGACATCAAAGTTAGACGGAAATTTTACAATAAAAAATGAGGGATAAGCAATTGTTAATGCATATATGGGTGGTGGATTAAATAGCTTTAGTAAGGTGCCCACCTTTATGTTGGGGGTGCGAGCTTTTGTAGCTTGGTAAGTATGGATGGACAGTGACAGAGCGGGGGACTAGCAATTTTTTGGGGACAAAATATGTGCAATCTTAATGAGTGGTCAGTAGTCACATAGCCAAACAAACTAAATATTGACATGTTGTACTTTGACGCAGAAGATGGATTGAAATTTTGCAATAAAAAATGTGGGATAATCAAGGAGTTTTCTTTTTCGTACTAGTATCTTTCTTTTGTTTACATGTTTTAGATAACACTGGTTCAAGTTAGAGGCTTGTAAATGATACTATGATAGTGAAAATTCATATTAGAGATTCTATTTATTTTTTTTTCGCATTTTTTTTAATTTTATTTTGCGAAGCTATTCACAAAAAAGGACAACAAATTGAATAATATATGAAAATTAGAAGGAAAAAGATTGAAAATGCGAGCCAAGAGGAGAAGCTTGAAAAGAAAGCTCAAAATAGAATTAAAAAAAAATAATTTGGGCACCTACATACTAATAAATGAGTATGGCCATGACTTGGACGGGAAAGCTCAAAATAGAAATAAAAAAATGGGTACCCACATGCTAACAAACTAGTCTGGCCACATTGTGGATTTATTTGTGGCTCTAATGCAATATCTTTCTTAATTATTATTTTTATTTGAAAATTTAAAATTTCAAAATTTACTCTTCCCCTGTCGACATGTGGCTCTGTCACTGTGGATTGAACTTAAGGACTAACTAAAATAGTTCCTGTTTCCCAGCTATAGGTTCATCATACTTCTTGTATGCCCAATCTGAAACCCATGCGTATGATTGTGTTATGTAACTTCCGTTTCAATTTTGTTTGAATTCAATTGAAGAGACTTGTGAATGCACTGTACACTATAAGTTGACGTGTCCATTAGCTGTTTGATTTTATTTTTTTTAAATGCTGTGCAGGTCAAAAGCCTATGGGTTTGGGCCTTGGGGGTCCGCCACAAGGTGCATCATATGGTTATCCCGGTCCAACCAAGAAGATTGAGATACCAAATGGCAGAGTTGGTGTTATAATTGGCAAAGGTGGGGAGACTATTAAGTATCTTCAACTTCAGTCGGGGGCAAAGATTCAGGTCACTAGAGACATGGATACAGACCCTAATTCTTCTACCAGAGGAGTCGAACTCACGGGTACACCCGATCAAATAGTTAAGGCTGAGCAGTTGATTAAGGATGTTCTTGCTGAGGTAATAATTAGAGTAAATGAACAATTAAAATCTCTACATATACATTTGACCAAAGAAGACAACCTTTCTTAAAAAATATTTGGTTCAGAAAGGTTCTCTTTTAGTTTATGTTTGGTACCCATTTTCCCAAAAACTCATTTTTTCAAAACTCATTTTCAACCCACATATTCTCCCATAAAATGATTTTTCACGTAAAATGAAAACTTTTCTTTTTTTCTAACCACACGGTCTTCAAAAAAATCACTATTACAAAATGCATTTCCCTAAAAAATGGAGCTCAAACATGGGCTTAATTAAAGTATGATTTGTTAAGATAACTTTCATCCAGGTGCAATGTAATGTGTTCTTTGTGCTGATTATTTGTTTATCATTGAGACAGGCTGAAGCAGGTGGTTCTGGCACCGTTTCTCGGCAGCTTACTGGACAGCCACCTGGAGCAGAACAGTTTGTAATGAAAGTTCCTAACAACAAGGTGAATTGTGGTTGAAGTTGATTCATCATATCATATGTGGTTTGTATTAGTATTCTTTTAATCCATATGAATTGCCAGGTGGGGCTTGTTATTGGTAAAGGAGGTGAAACCATTAAGAATATGCAAGCAACTTCAGGGGCTCGTATCCAAGTAGGTGTCATAGAAATATATATCCGTAATTTATCATATACAACAGACATTTTAATTGATTTTTACAGAAACATTTCGGATGATAGAAATTTCTTTCTAAAACATTGCAGGTGATACCTTTACATTTGCCACCGGGGGATATGTCGTTGGAGAGGACTGTGCAAATTGATGGAAGCAGTGAACAGATAGAGTTTGCGAAACAGTTGGTCAATGAAGTCATCAGTGAGGTATGTCCTGCACTTGTGTTCTAGTAAACGTTGACTGCTTCGATGCATAATCTAACCTAAGAAGGGACAGGCACATGTGTTTTCCTCTTTAGTCTAGTCGAGTGCTATAAAATATTTTTGCTACTCTGTGATTTCATTCTAGGGAGACAAGCATAGTCTTGGGATCTGTTGAGGATCCTACTTAATGGATATTGATTCTGTTTTTGTCATGAGAATTGCTATCATTTCTATTTGATGTTTATAGATTTTTTTTGCTTTTAATGTGTATTTGCTATAGGCGCCCAAGTTTTTTTTGTAATGCATCTATGGTTTTATTTGTCTCAACTAGTCTGTCTCCAATTTAGGAATTATTTTATCTTGACAATTTCCCCCTGAATTTCATGTTGCTGCATCTTTCATCTTTTATAGATCCTTCCTTCCTGAATGTTGATATGGTAATATTTGCCAATGGCTATGCAAATTGTGTGTTGTCTGCTTGTCTTTCCCGTATAGCCCCCAAAGGGTTGCAGATATATTTTGTTATTGCTGTGAGACAAACAGAGTGGTTATTGAGGACTAAGATCCCTTCTCAAAGTGGTCCTACAATTAAGAAACAAGCCTTTTGCCATTCGTATCTGTTGGAAGGGAGAATTCTTTAATATCTGGTTTGAACCCTCTCTCCTAGTTTCAATATCGGACCTTGAATATCAAATTTCTTGCACTGCTATATAATAACCTGTATCCATTTGTTCTGCTGGATATTTAGCTTGTTCCGTACATGTATTATCTGCAGATAGGTTCCTATCATATTATTCTCGAGAAGAATGTTTATCATGAGGGCCAAGGGTTGATCTTTGAGATGTTGCCTTTATTATTTTATTGGATATTGGTCATTTGGTTTTGTGTGAGACAGGTTGCGTGAGCCTTCTACCCCGAGGTAATTGAGTTTGGACAAATGCTTCTTATATTGTTGAGGATATATTTTAAATTTAGTATTTTAGCCGTTCTTAGCTGGATGCTCGATGATTCGTCTTCAGGATTACGGCCTATTTTTATATGGATTGTGCTGATTTACTTTCTAACCGAATTACTGATATTGTTATGGGGAACTATTGTAGGGGTTTGTAGGTAATGGGCCTGTGCTGACACCAAACATGGAATCATTAATGTTGGTGTTCCGTCAGCACTTTTGTGGTATGGTCTAAAACTCATTTCACAATCATTATCCAGACTTTGGAGGAGTTACTTCACATTGATGGAATATAGAAGAATAAGCCTTCAAAACTTGTAATCAAGATCAAGATCAAGATCAAGATCAGAGTATTTTGTAGTATCTAACTTTAGGTTGATGTATAATTTACTTGTAAATTTTAAGTGGCTGATAAAACTATAGATGTCTTAGTTCATATCTATATATTTTGTGTTTTCTTTAGACCGTGTCATTAGGTAGTTACACATTTCATCATTTAACACGGTGTCTTCCCAATACTTTTGATTACTGACAATTTTTTGTTTAGTTTCCACTCTTTGTTTCATATTTTCATTGTTGAAGAGTCCTCTCCTTTTCACCTGGTAGATTTGGTTTATGTTCCTGTTTTCGTTTTATTGCATGACGTTGGATATTTCCTTGTCCATTGAAGGTTGACAGCATGAAATTTTAGAAGCCAGGAATTTATGTTTGTATAGGTCGAGAGAAATCATTCTTTGTTAAGACACGAGTTTATGATGCTAAATTGAGTTAGGCTTTTTAGTCTATGACACTATGACACTATCCAAGATGTACTTGCTGATTCTGCCATTGGTAACATAAAAATGGTTTGACTACATTTATTTGTTGAGATCTAGTATGTCTTTTGCACATGTTGCCTTGTATGCAAATGGGTGTGTAGGGAGCCAATGGGGCTTCTGCAGGAGTGAATCAGTAGTACCACTCAATCAATCAGTACGGTATGTAATCGTCTAATCTTGGCCTAAAGTAATGTGCTATGTAGGTTGTGCTCAAGTTGATAGCACGAGAAGTACTCTCAATTTCCTGTATACATTTCTACACATTTTACATGGATGTCTATTTCGTTCATATATTTTTTATGCTGTTTTCCCACGTGTGTGGGATCAGTTCTTGGTTAATTTAAGTCAACAATTTTGTGCAGAATCGCCTTAGAAATCCAGCAATGACCGGTGGTTATGCTCAGCAAGGTTATCAAAATCGACCTCCTACAAGTTGGGCACAGCCCGGTGCACAAATGCAGCAACAACCTGGTTTTGGCTATGCTCAACCCGGTGCATACTCAGGTCCGTCACAACCCCAATATAACACAAATCAACCATATTATCCCGGTTATCCTCCTCAACCCACCTCAGGTGGATATGCTACCGGCTGGGACCAAACAACTGCTCCACCAAATCAGCAAGCTGCTCAGGGAGGCGGCTATGATTATTATAGTCAGCAGCCACCTGCTTATAGTCAAGGACAAGGCTACTCCCAAGATAGCTATGGTGGATATAATTCTACGGTACCTCAAGCTAGCTATGGTCAGCCCCAGCCAAATCCCGTTCCGGGCTATGATCAGCTGCAACAAGGTTACAATTCTACCTATGGTAATGTTTCAAACCCAACATCCGATGGCCAGACCTCTGCATATGGAACCACAGGCGACACCATTGATGCACCTACATCTGGCCAGTCTGGTTATGGGGTCCCCCCGACCTCCCAGGGTGCTTATGGAGCCCAAACCCCAACAGGTTATGGCCCTCCTCAAAGTCAAAAACTTCCTAGTCAGCCAGCTTATGGGCAGCCACAGCAGTCACCAAGTGCCCAAGGAAGGTATTCTCAGCCTCAGGTGCAGCCCAGCTACGCTCAGTCTCAGCCTCCACCCACTCAACCGGGTTATCCCCAATCAGATTCCAGTATCCAGCGACCATCATCGGGCTATCCAACATCTCAGCCAGGGTACGGTCCCCCACCTTATGGAGCACCTCCCACACAACCGGGGTATGGTCAACAGCAGCCACCACTGCATAACACAGCTTATGGTGGTGGTCATTCCCAACCTCCAGTTTACTCCGCTGATGGTGCACGTGGAACTTATGATGCAGCTCCAACCTCTCAAACTGTCCAGCCTAGTGGATCTGCTAAAGCCTCACCGCCTAGTTGATGTGTCATGTCTATGATACTTGGGTATATGCCGTGATCCCATAAATGGTAAGCATATGGTTTAAATGAGGTCTACTCAAGTATAGTAGAATCAGAGAATTGAATTTGCTATTTTTTTATCGTGTTTTTTTAATATGGGATTCAGGTATCTTTTCGCTTTGTATTACCATTATCCTTAGCTATCATTGCTCATCGTGTTATGGATATAATTGCTCTAGATTATGTTTCATTAAAATCTTGTATATAGTTGGCCCTAACACTATTTTTGGGTAAGAACTAATCTTAAGCTCGAATCCCTAATTTCCATTAGGTGCTTATAAGTTCCTTCCATCACATCCTAAGCAACCTTGGAAAACATTTTGCCATGTTGGCTGAGAAACATAAATTAAAACACGTGATGCGCAATTAATTTTTGTGAACTTGTTAGGAGACATCTACTGCCTCATAGTTGTGTAAGAAACATTAGACAGTGCCAAACATAAATTTAGGCTCTGTTTGTTTTCCATTAATGTAAGAATGTGAATGAAAATATAACTGTTACAAGTTTCACACAAAAGATAGAAATTCGAATATGATGGCTTTATGTGATGAATAATAATCATATTTTTCATTTTAATGGCTAAATAATGAAAAACAAACAGGGTTTGAGGTTGCAAAGAGTATCGTCAAGATATCTATTTTAATGAGAGACATTGAAATCAGGCTCTAATGGACCTTTTATGGTAAATTTTTAAATTGGAGAGTAAATTTGACTCTCTTAGTGCCTATTTGTATCTTATCATGATTGTTATTTAATAAAATTGTAAATTTTAATGCCCCTTTGCTTCAATTATCATATTATATATCTAATCCACAAATATATAAATTAATTGAAAATTAGGGACAATTAATAAATAACTATTGGAAAAATTAATATAAAAAATAAAAAATAAAGAGTGTTGAATTGTATAAGTTTCTCTCTCTTTAAATTTAAAGATCATCCGCATAATGTTAATATGCATATTTGTTATTAAGCTGATCATTAATGGAGGAGCTACCTCATCATCAAATGAGAGTGCAGGGTATCTAGTTCAAAATTATATAATTACCCAGAAATTGAATATTACTTGAAAGAAATTTAATGGCAAATACGAACAATCGCATGAAGAGTAAGTATAACGAAACATTTGTTCTTGTTAAAATGAATACTTTCAAATTCAATCAAAGCTGGAAATTATTTAAATAAAGTGGCAGACCAGACCAGAACTCAGATTCAATGGAAGTTTAGGTAGCGTTTGGTTTGCATTTTTATTTTTTATTTTTTATTTTCAATTTTGAATTTATTTTTTGTTTCCTGTTTTAAGGGATTATTTTTAAATTGCAGAAAACGTTTTTGTTTGTCATTCTTAAAAATTGTTTCTCAAAACAAAAAAATTAAAAATTGTTTCTCAAAACAAAAAAATTAGAAAACACGTTTTGTTTAAAAATTTTAGAAATAATTTTATGACATTTTTTTTTCAATTAATTTGATTATTTAGTATAACATATCACTTTTATGCTAATATGTCATCAAAAAAATATTAATTTTAAAGTTTATAAAAAAGAAGAAGAAAAGAATCGTTGTGATTATATCTCCAACAATCGCTTCGAAATCATATATCCATAATAAAGACACTAGAGAAATGGATTATTCATTTGGCAAAGCTTGGGACAGATTGAGATATGTTTGTATTTGTATTTGAATAAGTTTTGTGTGATTTTATTAATTATTTTAATATGAGAATTTTTTAAGTTTATTTTCCTCATTTAGAGTTTTGAATGTTTTTCAATGAAAGCATTCAGAACGTCAATAAGTTATTTTGAATTTAATGTTGTAAAACTTTCCTTATTTTCTAAAACTTATTTTTGTAAATAATATACTAAATACATTTTGATTGATTTCGAAAATTGAATAGTAAAAATAGCAAAAAAAAAAAAAGACAAATCAAATGCACTCTTAATTTAAATAAATAAATAAATAATTAAATACCAAATGTAATAATTATAAAAAAATAAAAACATAAAAAAGTCGTTTATAAAATCTCAAAATTTTATAGGCCGCACCTCTATCCACCGTTGTTTAAAAAAAAAAAAAGTCCACGATCATCCACATTAAGTTGAGACCGACCAATAAAAGGGTGAAAAATTCACAACTTAAGTATTAACTATGGGCTAATTCAATTTTCAAATTTAATGTTTCGAAATTCAAAACTATATATCACTGCACCACTTAAAAAAGGGGGCACACTGTGAGCAGCGGTGATGAACTGCCGTGCACGAAAGCAAGCTACTGTCGCTACGCTATGATGAGTCGCTAGAGTGAGTGTTGTGAGAGAGAAAAGAAAGGGGTGGAGAGAGAAATCTTAAGCCAAGACTAATTTATAGAGAGAGAAAAGATACATGATACTATTAATAATTCAATCAACGGAAATGATTTTTTAAGTACCCGTGACATGATACACCATTTAATTGATGAATTGATGCTTAACATAAATTAAACACCAGTACTTAATGGTCACAGATTCATAATTATAAGTCACAGATTTATTTATTGATCACATACTATCAAATAAATTGATCACAAATTATTTTGTGAACACAAATCATAAATTTTATAGGTTGCAAATCATTCAAATTACAGGCCACATTTTATTTATAGATCACATATTTTCAAACTTATTGATTATATATTATTTTTTAATCACAAATTATCTAATTTTAAGGTCACAAATTAGTAATTAGTCCAAATAGTTGGTCACGTGCATCAAACACCCCCACCACCGGTCTTGATCCAGCACCTGGTCACAAATCACCACCACCACCACACCACACAATCGCTGCTTGCACCACACAATCGCAACCTCACCACCACCGCAGCCCAAAATTGGCACCTCAACCTCATCGCCAAAGCCAGCACTACTACCACCAGCAAAACACACGACCAAAACTACTCTACAACAACCACAAAATCAAATTCACGACAGCACACAGCTCACCGCACCCACAGCACATAACCCCCACCAAAATCGCATCCAACCACACACCGAGAGTGCAGACCATCACGCCGCATCCAACCACTGTACATTAGCAGTGCCACCATGCCGCCAACACCATCGCACCTACAGCGCACACACCCACCATTACCACATCCAACCACACTACCATTTAATAGCATAATCTTAGCACCACCACCACGGATCACAGCACACCACTGCACACTACGACCATAACAAACAACAGCACACAGCCCGATTCGCTTCCACTGATTCACCTTGGCAAACACGAACACTGCCTACTAAATTCTACCATTTCTTCCGGTCACCACCGTTATGACTACCACACAAATCACTACTGCCACCTTGACAACCGCCTCCTCAAACACCATTCACCACCTCAACCTGCAACTCTAATCAACCACCGCATAACCACAACCACTACTTGCTAAAGTCTACCATTTCTTCCAACGCTACCACACCCGCAGAAAACCATCCAACCACATATCAGAAAACCACGGCATGGAAAATCCTTAAAACTACCGCACCACCACACCAACTAGAGAACACAAATGCAAAAAAGG